GTATATCCAAAGAGCATTGGTTATCTCTTGTAACCTAGGAACATTTTTGGTGTTTTTAAAGCTATATCTTCTTGATTATAATAGATTAATAAATGTAGATTAACAATTGATAAAGTTTATATGAAAATTAAATCTCAAATTATTTAAATACATCATATAAAATGACTGGTGGAACAAGTTTCAAAAACTAAAACTTCTAAAATTCTATATATATAACAAAATTTTGAAAATTGTGGTATAAGAATACTTAAAGCAAATTTGACAGTAAGACTCAACACGTGAAGTTCACATTACAGATTCTGGGCCGGCACGTGTGGTTAGGCGGCGAGGCGGTCACCTCAGACGGCACTTTTGGGACGGCATTTTAGAACCACATATTATTAAAATAAAATTTTTATTTATTACAATGTAGAACAACTAAGCAAATAATTTACTTAGTTGGCGTATTCAATAATTTTTCAACGTAAATACGTCAATTAGCGTCTTTTGTTTTCATTTTGTTCCGCACTGGGATTCGATCGCACTATCTTTCACGATGTCCAACAAATAAAGGTTAAAGTTAAAAATTTCAAGTAACTAAATCGTTTTCTTTCTGCCATGTTCAATCATCAGAAAACAATTACAGTCTTTCTTCACAAAGACGACCTTTTATTTTTGCGAAACAGCGGCCAGATGGCCGAGCGGTCAAAATGACAGCCTATCGCTCTGGGGGACCTGGGATCAAATCTGGATGGTTCATATAATCCCCAGGAATTTTTGGGAGGTAGTTCGTTCGGATATGTCGGGCCCCATCTCTCACCATCCAGATGCCTCATTGTGGGCCTGGCCGAACCCATAATGGGCTTGCAAAAATAGGCTCTCTTAGTTCCTGCGGGGTGGAAAGAGTTAAAAAAAATGTTTATTCAAGTAAAGATAAACTTATATCGTAATAAAGATATTTTATTTTAAATAATATTAATCTTTCATAAAAGCAAACCTGTTAGATGATAAACATTAATATCTGGAGGTAAACGTCCAAATGACCGATACGGTTAAGAAATTGACGTACTGCTCTGGTGGATCCAGGATGAATTCCGGACTAGTAACTCCTCAAAAATTTTTGTTGGGCCTTCCAATAGTCTTCGCCAACAGTCATTGGTTGTGGGTCTGGTCGAACCTAGGGCGATCTAGATAAAAATAGCCTTCTTAGTGCCCAAAAAAAAACAGAAAAAGTAAAATAAAAAAAAAATACTTATCAAAGAACACGACAAGTTGAAAACGACATCGCCTTTTGTTCTCTTCTTCGGAAATATTAAGAAAAACGCTCAAAAATTATAATATTTTACACTTATCAGTACAGTATTCATTTATTAATAAATGAAGTAATTTATATAGTATATTGTGACTATAGACTCAATAACAATTACAGTCGAAAAATTACAGTAAGTTTTCAGGAAACGGTCCGTACGAGCTCAAAACGGCTTGCTAATAAAATGACCCTCTTATCGCCTAAAGAGCAGCAAAAGTTAATGGGGATAGAAATATTTATATATAGAATTTTCCGATATTATGGAAGAACGGAACAATAAATAATATTACAAAAACTCCAGCAACGAGTAACATAACTTTGCCGGCTGTTATGAGATTTTATTTAGAAAATAACTTTTATACTTTCAATTAAATATAATAAATAAAATTGAATGTGGCACCATCTGTTACGAGATTTTGTTATGAAAGTTTTATATATTTTTAATTATTATTTAATAGCAAAATGATCAATTTTGAGGGTGTTGGTCAGTTTCGTAAAACGTTGTAAATGCTAATAACGTATAACATCTTCATTAAGTCCGATCCCACTCGGATATGCTATGTGATCTCTCTATCTCAACCACCCGCCAACCAGCACTGACGGAATTTTTTTGCCATTCTTAACGCCGTTATACAAAACAGCCGGGGAAAGTACAACAAAATTATTAAATAATTAATACAGTACTAAGTAATTTGCTACTAGAGGTCGACGTTAGGCGCCATCTGTAAATCTAAATGAATACAGGAAACCTGTCTATGGAGACAACCCACGGTTCCTTCAAAAAGTGGCCTTTTAGACAGGTGGTGTCGTAATACCGTATTTATGTACGTATTTTGCGCACTTTTAGCCATTTCTACTAAGCAAAACTTGAGATGAGCAAAAATAAACGAATTTTTTCAACGATAGGACTGTATTGGTATTGTATTTTATTCTTATCGATTTACGGAAGTCGTCGTGATTTTGTAAGACAGATTTAATACCAATATATTAAAGATTAATACAATAGTCGCGTATTCTCGATTATAACGCACACTTTCTTTTTTTTCCGACTTAATTAATTCAACTTAATTCTTTTCGTTCGCTCCTCAGTAACGTGTATTACGTCATCGATATACAAGCGCGTCGTATCTCTACATCACTTTGGTTTTGGTTTCGGTTTTGGTTTTCGTTAGTTTAACTTTAAAAATACTGTACATTACATTTGAAAAAGGTAGGTTACCTGTAAAACTGATTTTTGCATTAATGCGTTGTTTTTTTTTTTTTTTTTGAATATTTTGCGTGCGAAAATTACTTGGATATTATTTTTCTAAAAATATCGTGGAAATAAGGTAGGTTGATACAGAAACTATTTATCGCACACGTACTGTATATGAGCTTCAAAATAAATAAATAAATAAAAATAAATTTTATCAAACGATGAGATCAGCCGATTAATTGTATCGTGTATAATATTTTATACCCCAAGGAAAATACTGTAGGTCTACGGTAAAATCAATTTCGTTTACTCACAGTAAAACTTCGCCGCTAATTGCTGTTGTGATAACTTTAACACGATCTTCTAACGACAGCACTTTGCATTTCTTTCGTTTTTCGGACAATTTCGAACAAACTGAAATGAATTTCCTTTGTTGCTAGACTAAATCGTTAACACCTGCACCTAATTTCGAGGGTGAGAGCAGTGTCCGAGGTGGGTTCGAACGAAAGTTTAGACCAGGGGTGTCCAACCTTTTTGTTTCTCTGGGCCGCATTGGAAGAAGTCAAGGAGTTTTGGGCCACAAGCAGTAGCGTAGCGTAAAGGGGCGGCAGGGGCGGCCCGCCCCGAGCGGTATTTTTTAGGGGAGCGGCAAAATTTGACAATAAATAATAATAATATCTTGTAAAAATTTGAACCATTTTATTTCATATTTTCGTGCACCTACGACTCGGACCGATTGAAATGAGCACGGCAATAGTGTTACCATCCGCGAATACCGCGAATCGACTCGCCGTCCGAGGATATCGTGCGCGACCTGTTGACGTTTTTTTATTTTTGTTTTTTTGTTTTTTTTTTCTTTGCTTGTACGATTTATTCGTATATATATACACCTTCAATATCCAATAGAGCTAGGTCACTTGCGTTACTCTTATCCATGTCTCTCTAGTCGCTAACTGTAACTGATTTAGAACCAGCATGCACTGCAAATTATTCTTCGCATTGCAAAATGACATACGCATGCGTCAGGTACTTCTGTTCGAACAAACCTCACCCGCCGTCCGGGTCGGCGATTTTAAAAAAGTGGCAACCCTAGCAAACCCTAGCACGCAATTTTTCATTACTTATTCTGTGAGGAAACTGAATTTTAGTCTTTTAAATTGAGATACCTAAATAAGGGGACGGCGAAATTTTCCTTTTCCCCGGGGGGCTGACACCCACGCTACGCCACTGGCCACAAGTACAGTACATATATACTTGTGGTCCAATATACAAGTATATTTAAGGATTAACATGTCTAGATTATAATAATAAGTATTAAAACTTTATCAAGAAAAAGGATATTTTAAAAATTACTTCTACAGACACTTTCAATTTTTACTTAGAAATAGATAAATTCATTTATTATAAAAGAGACAAACGGAAATTTATTTGAAAGACACAGACGTTTGTTATATTTGGGTCTCTAATTAATAAAAAGCAACGAAACACCATTTTAAAGTGCATTTTTATTCAACTAATATAAATAATAGGTAGCCCAAAAAGTAGCCAAAGCGCCAAATGATATTTCTTGCATCGAACAAAAAAAGTAGCCACATTTGGCGCAATGTAGCCAAATCTTGCAACGTTGGAAAAAATAGTAAATAATACTGGAGTTGTGAATCAAAGGATTATAGACCCAAGTGCAGGGAAAGGAGAGAAAGGACAAAAGATAAAAAAGTGAGAAAGGTTGGAAAATTAAGGGTCAACAGAAGATCTATTTAACCTTTCTCACTACTACATCTTTTGTTTTTTCTCATCTTTCCCTCCTTTTCCCAAATTTGGGTCTATAATCCTTTGAGTCACAACTCCAGCTTTATTTAGTAATCCTTCCTCATTCACACATTTCCAAGTATTTGAAAATATTTCCTTTCCACTCAAGAATAAAATATGAATAAAGGTTCACCGCTTTGTGAAACTTCTTTTTTGAGTTTATGCCGTTGAAATAGATAAATAATAAAAAAATTAAAACATTTTGTCGGTTTTGTTTACACGTTTATTGGGCCGCATTGGAACTTGCCTTGCCCCTGGTTTAGACTAATTCATTATATTAGGAGGGGGGAAACGTTGTCGAACAATAGTTTAGACAGATATATTCGCGGAAGTGTTCGCTTATTACAGTTGTTGTATGTTGTTTCGGACCAAAAATCGATGCCCGCGGTCGCGTTACACGGATGGTCGTTTAATACGGGTAACTTATACGAATACTCTATGGATAAACTACTCGGTGCCAGAAATTTTTGCCCGTTTTGACAGGTGCCCGTCGAATGCGGGTGGTCGCCTAAGCAGTTTTCACTGTAATTATAATCACGCCGTGATTAACCGTGTAAGGTTATATCAGAAATTATTAAAATATAAATTTATTTAATATAACGGAATCGCAATTTTTCGAGCCGAAACTATAGTATTGCGACATATTATAAAGTAATTTTGCAACCGATTGAATCAGAAAATTGCATCAGAAAAATAAAAACGGCCGTTAGGGGGCACGGACGCCAGGAAACAAGACCAAACGAAGTTGTCGTACAAAAATGACAACTGTTTGTTGATAACGACTACAAAATGTGAAATCGAATGATGACATTTTCCTGTAGAGATTCAAGTAAACAAAGTAAGTATGTCTATATAATTGCATTTGTTCTGACGTGACGAAATTAACCTTTCCTTGATGCGGTAACCGGGTCAGTTTTTAGGCTTAATGAGTCTTTTAATTATAAGAAGGAAGAGTTGTTTGCTACGTTTTTATAAATATTATTAAACTTAAACATAATTTGGCTGTAAAGTCATCTGTTTAAACTAGGGAAAGATCATCATAATTCATTTTTTGTACAGCTTACTTTATGTACAGTACTTAAGGTACTGTATGTGTACTGTACACACATAAGTCTGTATGTATATAAGAAGCATCTAAAGTAACTTCTACCAATCAAAATTCTGTGTTATGGTCTTCGATATAACATTGTGCCAATGCTCTGATGCTATAGTGAAGACCGGAATGTTAAATGGGGGCTCATTGCTTCGATTAATAAAGGTCGAACGATGACGGCGTACTTGTGCTTCGGATGAGGTGTGAGTCGTCATACTATTATGTGTCTGACTGAGACGATTGGGACCGTGTCGGAACCACAAACTGTCTCTCTACGTGTCGTCTTTTGCGAGATGTGCCTCCCTGCTTTCGAGGTTTGCTTCGTTGGCAGTTGTATCGCTCTGTGCCACCATATTTAACTATTCGGCCCGTGTGACTATGTCGACTTTGAGTGGCCTGCCTGCGGAGCGTCGGTCGAGGCGAAGGATACCGTGCTGAGGGTGGAGAGAAGACTGTATGCTGGTTTGCGATAAAAACTGATCTTTGGAGGTAAGTATTTCGCAAAGGGTCGCTTGGGGTGTGGTTCCGTTGACTTTTTTGCTCGTACGGGGGTCTATAACTCCGGAGGTTGGCAGATTCCTCGTTTGGAGTTCATGTCTTACCTGACTCGTTCTCTGTCTTACCTGACTAATGTTTCAAAATATTGGAAACTTATAAAGCAAACCGGAATGGCGCGGTCTTCAGTTATAAAAGATGACAGTTATATTTAAAGTCTATTGTTATTTAGTATTTTACTGATACCACATGTTTGTCAATATCCAATTTGGATGTTGTTCTTTTAAATTTAACATTTTGTTTCTTGTTTGGTTTTTGAATGTTCTTTTTGACCCAAAGATTGTTACTCGGAGCAATTGAAAATGTTTGTTTAGTACTAAATTTGTATTCTTGCTGGATTTTTAGTTTTGTCAGTATTTATTGATTGGAGGTCAGTATGATCAGTTACATCAGTATGATGCAATGTTACATCAGTATGATGCAATGTTACATCATTTTGTGTAATTCTTACAGATTAGTATCATATGCTTTCTTTTTACAAAAACACTTCATATGCCAAGTAAAAACATTCATTTTGTTTAAGTTTATTCCAGTATTTAAAAATAAAATGATAAATTTGTGATTATGTGCATCATTTGTGTTACAACTGTGCCTACGGACAATTGCTTGATAAAACACCTTTAACGTGAGTAAGTAAGCCAATGACAGCTCATTTCAAATGAAACAGACTATGTCATTTATTTATTTTATTTATTTATTTCAGTGTAGACACTATGGCCAATTGTTGTTTTTTAAGTGTCTCTCTCTAAAACAAAGCAAAAGAACAAGAACAGAAGGGGAAGGAAAAAACAAAGACAACTAATTGCATAATATTTAGTTGCATTTTCCCTATTTATAGTTACTTCTTTGAGTTTTGACATTACAGAATTCATAATTCATTTGTTTATCAGTTTGCAATAACTAACCTGTGTTTTTTTGGGGGAAATCACTTATTATCCAAGTACTTCAATTTTGTTAATTTTTGTTTCCTTTCTACTTATTTATAAAAACTTGACCAAGAGGATTTTTTTTTTATTGTTTTGAACTTCTTTTGGTTGGTCAGGAAACTGTATTTCTTTGTTCAAGAAATACAGGAAACTGTATTTCTTTGTTTAGTGAATTCCAATATTCACTAATATTGGAATTCACTAAGTGGAATTCTGGAGCAGATCGTCCTATAGAGAGTTTTGTACAGGGTTTTAAGTAGTTATAGTTTCTTTGATGGCTGTAGATTTTTTCTGCAGTATTTTTCTATTATATCAAGATGATGACAGTTATTTTACATCCACAAATGTTTTACGGTGTGACTTTAAATAAAAAGTTCCCACAAACGTTTTCGCATTGTAAAAGGTTTGTGGATGTAAAATTTTTGTATTTCACGGTGTTGTGATAAAGTTTTGTTATGATGACAGTTGTTTGTTTTAATCTTTATAAGTTTGAAACTAAAAAAATAGGGTTTGTTTTGCATATAAAGTTTTTATGTTGTTTATTTTTTCTCAATGGTAGTAGGTGGAAATTGTTTCATAACGATTCAGTTTATATATGGCTTGTATAAATAGATTTTACTGTACTTGAAGTCTATTTACAATATAATCAGTTGCAGTTCCCCAGATAACAATACCATATTGGATTTTCAGTTCAATACAGGTGTGATATAGACATTTTACAGTATTAATGTTTAAAAAGTCCTGAACTTTCTTTATTATTTCTGTGAACTTGGCAACAGCCTTAGTTAAACTTTGCGTCTGTTATACCTGAGTTTTCGTCTATCAGTATTCTGAGATATCTTATATTGTTTATTTTATCTTCTTTTCATTTATTTCTATTTGAATTTATTCCTTATCAACATTTTTATTTACAAAACAGAGATATTTTGTTTTATTTGTTTATTATTATTATTTATTTTACTTATTACAATATTACTTTTAACAATATTGAACTCATATAGTCAGTTAATCAGGATAGAACATTATTCAATTTATGTCGTGCTCCTAGAGGTTATCATTGGAGTGTATTAAAGCAATGTCATGTGCATATGCAATAATATTAACTTTGGGCATAGCTTCAATTAGGTCATTCAAGCAAGTATTGAAAAAGCAATGGTGCTAACACCGATCCCTGGGGAATTCCAATTTTAGGTAAAAAACCATTTGAGCATATGTTATTGACTTTTACGTGATATTTACAGTTTGGTAAATATGATCTTATCCATTGTAAAGGAACTCCTCTTAGACCAATGTTAGAATTTTCTTTCAAGAATCTGGAGGTCTACATTGTCAAAAGCTTTGGATAAGTCTAAGAATAATGCTACAACTAAAAGAGATTTATCTAATTTATCCATGACTTCCTGTTTAAAATGTAGCAATGAATCTATTGTAGAGAAGTTTGTTTGTAGGCATATTGATGTTGATGAATCACATTTAAAGTAATCATATATTTCCAGAGTCTTTTTTGTGGAAGACTCTCTGATTTTTACCAACACAGGGATGATAATGATTAGTCAATAGTTTTCAATGTCACTTTTAGATCCTTTATTTCTGTGTATCAGTATAACCATGCTATAATTTTGTTTGTTCAGAAATGTTCCTTTTTCAAAAATTTATTTATCAGGAAGGATAAAGATATAGCAATAATATCTGCAATTGATTTGATTATATCCATATTTATATTAACTATATCAGGTGTGCTAGTCTTTAAATTCATAATTGTGTTATAAACTTTGTCTATAATACAATTACGAATTTGTCTTGGAGGCCACTACTGCACCACTCCAAGACCTCCAAGACAAAAGAATTTAATATTCTCATAGACAAAATTAACTGTGGAGAATGATTTGGTCTTATTGTAGATTTTGTCCCATGTGCAGTTGAAGTACTTTGCAAAAGTTTCAGTTATAATCTGATCATCTTCTAATAAATTTCCTTTGACGAGCAGTGATTTTATTTTGGTTTCCATTATACGTGGAGCTTTGTCAGTATGTGATGTATCCAGCTGTATTAGATATCTTTGTGCTCTGTTACACTAATATTATGTTGTATGAATTATGCAGTTCTAAGGATAGTGTGTTTTTGATAGGGAACATGAAACATCAAATAATTGGAGGCAAATTGCCATCAAATAGACAAGTGTTGGTTGTTTTACTTTACAATATAAGAGAGGTTAAACATACACAATTTTTTTTGGAAAAAACAGAATTTCGACAAGATTCCTTCAGCATTGTGTAAAAACTCAGATTCATATCTGACATGAAGAAATTAGAAAAGAATGCAAGAAAGTTTCAAGAGATTTTTAAGTGCCATGAAGAGGAGTTTCAAAACAATTGGGACAACCTGTTTGATATTGCATATGCAAATCATCAACAAACCATCAAATTAGATGAGGATAGAATTTTTTTACAGAAACATAGAGAACTAGGATAAAAAGGCTGTCTTGCAGGTGTTGACCAAAAACTTGCTGAAAAAGAACTGTCGAGGAAAAGGAAACTTGAAGAGGAGAAAATACAAAGTAAGCAATCACTGGCATCCATCAACTGCACTTCCTCTTTCATAACCTGAAGATGAAGATGGTGCATTTTTCAATTTGGATAAATAGAACAATGGTGAGTTGTCTTTGCAGTTTCTGGATGATACACCAAGGCACAATACTGAAAGACCACCAAAGATTTCATTGCTGACAAATTAGTGGCTGCTTTAGACAGATGTCAGTTGAGTGTAAGATACAGTGTTATAATATATCCTTTGAACAACAGCAGAGGCACTCATTTACGACACTGAAGCATTTCCTATTAATTTAATAGCTCTTCCATTCGTCGAATCAGGCAAAACAAAAGAAAAGAATGGGCTGAAGCCATTAATTTAAAGCTGAATTTAATAATGATATCTCTGAAATTCTGACTGCTCACTGGGATAGTAAGCTGTTAACTGCATTGAATGTTAGGGAACCAAAAGAAGAAATAGTTGTGACATTTGGAGATGATAAAGAACAGTTCATTGATGATCTAAAATTAGAAAATGCTTCTGGTAAAAAGCAAGCACAGGTCGTCAGGAGTGCAATAACAGTTTGGAGTTTGGAAAAACAATGTAAAAATTCTTAGTAGTGATACAGTTGCCTCAAGCACTGGCCACAAGTGGTGCATTCATCCTCATTGAACAAATATTGGATAGTTTTTCCTGTTGTCATCATATCTACAAATTAGTCCTACAAAGTGCATT